GTGTTCAATACTTTTTCCCTGTGCCATTCCACATTATTACAAATAACTTCATTTCTGGACATTTATGGTTTGTTTTCTTTGTATGTATGGATCACTTGGGTTGTTACCAACATCTGGTGAAAATTTTATGTCATTAGCACCTCTAGTAATATATTTACTGAGAAAAATGGTGACGTGTTCAATACTTATTTTACCCGCTGTATGAAAGGGTGTGAATAATAGCATTATGTTTAGACCTTTCAAATTTCATCCCTTTGTCTTTCTATTTCTTGTTTTACAGGCTGAGTCCAGAAATCTTTCTGAAGAGACCTGTGGTCGAGGGCAACAGGTGGAGGCTAGACTGCATCCTCAGACGCAAAGCAGTAAGTAAGATTCAAAAAATTACGAAAAGATTTTCTGGTGAGTGAATGTCAATCTTCACTTGTGACATAGTTCATATCATTTACGTACACTATCTGCCGCTCTCTCAAATGATCAGACAAGTCATATGGATTATATGGAGCGTCAATTGTAATAACATAACAGAAAAAGACATTTCTAAAGTGAATTTCGAAACATCAAACTTTAGGAAATACAGGAAAATTCAGCTGAAACATTGGCTAGAAGGTTGAGGTCTTTGACAGTCTTGGAGAATGAATGTAATTGTTTAAAAGGTTTGTGTTTTTACCAGTGTCTTCTAGCTTAGCTTGCCACATCTAGTGTAGGGCTGCCACAAACGATTATTTTTATAGTTGACTAATCACCGATTTTTTTTCGATTTGTCGACTCATCGGATCATACGTTAATTAATATAAAACATAGAGCTTATCGTGCCACCATGCAGTTGCTATTATATAACCATTGTTAGATTTGAGCTGTATGCTAACTAAAAATAACTGCAGTGGAAGCAAGTTCTGCCTTGCAAATTTTGCATTGCACAGGTTTCTCTTTCATTTTCTTAAAATGATCCCACACTTTGAGCTCTGTTGTCAGGTAGCCATGATACCAGAGCCTGTCTGTATAATGTCTTGTGAGGTCCACGGCCTACCCCAGTTACCATTACTGTGCATGTGTGTCAAGGACAGAAAGGCAGATGAGGCAGTGGAAGGTGTCAAAGTAGTTTGTAGAAAAAAGCTTAAGTAAAAAACAAACAAGCAAACAAAAAAAGGACTAATCGGCTATTGAATTAGTCGTCAACTATTTTAATTAGAGCTGGGGGGGGGTATGACCCAAATTTTATATCAAGGTATTTTCAACAATTACACTGGTTTCACGGTATTTGAGGGTATTTTTTTCCTCACAGCTCCACTGATAATAAAATGTACAAACTTTGCTTATTGACTTTTTTCTTTTACTGTACCTCTGTATCACTGTTTCCCTCCTCTTGTACGTCTTTTCATCTTTGCCTGGTTGTAGACAGTAATCATGCATTTAGGTCCGATCATGAAGGGTTGAGAAAAAAATCATTATCTGGTCTATCGTTGCATGTTAACAAAACCTAAAAGGATGACTCACCTTAAACACCAGTCAACTTAGCTACACTACAAAACTACTTCCTCCCGGGCTTTTCACAATAGAAGCACGGTAGCGTCTCCATGCAATAATTTCTCCATTATAATGTAACGCATTAAATCTAGCCGTGCACTTCACTGAAGAGTTGTTTACTATTCAGCGATGGTGAAAACGTGATTTTTTTTACATCAGACCATATAAGCGGCTGAAACACATCACCCACCGCCAGTTGTTCCAACAATAATGTTAGCATGCTAATGCGCTTAGCGGTGCTGTGAGGAAACATGTCCCCAGAGAAACAGTTCACTGGCAGCCGCGATGAAAAGTTACACACAAGTTCAGGCTATTTACACCGGTATTCAGAAAAGTCATATAACAAAAATAAAAACCAGTTTTCGGTACAAAACGGTATACCGCCCAGCACTAATTTTAATACTCGATTAGTCATCGACTAGTCAACTAATCATGGCAGTCCAAATCTAGTGTGTGTGTTTATTTTTTGTCACTCATGCAACTGCTTCTGTATCCTTTAAATAAGCTTAATGGTGATGTTTAAAATTTGTGTAAATACAATTTTATCACCATATATGTGACAGACCTCAGTAGAGCATCTTGTGCACCTTGTTTGCCTGCATCTTAGCTTGGCAACAGTGACAAAAAATATTTCTTCCATGTGAGGATGATGGCTGCATCCTGAGTCACTGTTACAAGTACTGTAGCACAATGTTTTGTGGTCCTCCCTGTGGAATTTGATGCTATTTTCACAAAATTGTTTAAGTGTAAACACAGCTAAACCTTGCATTGTTATTGAAACCAATGGAGTCACTATCAGAGTTTGTACGTTAAGCAGACATACGTAGTCACGTGACTAGTGTTTTAAAAATAGCCTGAGTGGAGATCACCATTGGAATTACTCCAAAAGGTAATCAGTTTTTTTAATATGAATACCCAAGCCTGTAAGTTAATTAAAGTTTCATTAAAATTTGTCAAGGGGTTTGTGAGACATTTTGCTGATAGGCAGACATGGCTTACTGGAGTAGTTATTGCCAAGGTTTTAAACAGAAAACAAAGAACTGTTAACACAATCTGTTAACCACACAGAGTCAGTTTAGGGAATGGACCATTTCATAGTTTTTTGCTTGCACAACATTGTGAGAAAGGGTCAAAGTTTATACGGTAAAAACAAACCCATATCTCTATTAAATTTGACAGATGCAATCAGTTTTTTTTTAGTTCGTTTGATGTTTTTTGTACATTCTGGCAGAGAAAATATCAGATGATGTAAAATGTTAAGGCGTTGATGCACCATAGGACATTTACGAGAAAGGAGCCTATAAATAAAAGCACAAATTCAAGATTTTATTTGTAAAAATTATAATTTTGTAACTTGAGACAACTTTTTTCAACATTATTTTGATTTATACAATTTTGTGCAATTTACCAATAACATATATTAACATAAAATAACATATATTTAATGCTTTCATTGTTGTTATGTTCATTTTGAATTTTAATCTTCTTATCTGTTTCCCACTACCTACTTTACTAAAGATCCAGCAGTTAGTTGGGACTTCTGCCCATTTAGCTACATAACCATATAAAATATGATCTGAGGCAACAGAATTACCAAAAACAAGCTCAAAAAGCAGATTTATAGCTTAAAGACTTGAAAATCTTGTTCATGATTTTAAAAGAAAGTTTAACACAAATCAGTTTAAAGCAAATACATCGGGTCTGTATTAGGGTGTAAATTTATCTGTTTGTTCACTTCCAATGGTGTTTCTAAAGCAACCTTAGCGTTTATATATTATCACCTGTGACCTGGTCACTTTGAGTGTGCACCTTTCTGGCTATGAAATGGTCTATTATTGTTTGCAAATGCCACTTGGTTGCCATCTTATTTGGGTGGCAGGTGTGAGGAGGAAAGGACACAAAGCCTGAACAGTAAGCAAAACACACAAACAGTAAGCCTCAGACAAACAGACGCGAATTAAAATATGTTTTGAATCATGAAGCAACAAGAGGGTCTGCTGGTACCTCTTATTAGTTTTCATGTTTCTACAGTGTTTTATGGAAGACGTGTTACAAGTTATAACATTCAATTCCCATTTTAAAAGAAAAGGTCAAGCAGCCTTAATGTGGGACCCAGTGGGAGCTGATGTGTACACTCTGCTTTTTGGGAGGTTTGATAAAAACTGTAACTCGTGAAGCAAAGACGGACAACAAAAATGGCCATGTTTTGACTTCGAACATGTCTATGTATTGTAAAAGATTAGGAGTATTAGTTTTAGGAGTTGTTTGTTCACTCTGGGTTTAATATTGGAATGAAATGTCTCTGCCATGATCTCTCACAGAGAAATTATCCAAAATCATTCAAAAACTAGCAAAAATTTACAAATAGTATAGTTTTACAAAAATGGTGACAAATATGAAAAACCTGAATCATCTGATGATAGTTCATTATCTCAAAGACCATATAGTGCTAGAACGATGTTTCTATCTGAAAATATGTGAATGTAAAAAGTGTTTAAACCCCACAAAGTTATAAGAGACACTGAAGGATTCGGCACTATATCCTAAAAGGTTTTGTTTGTGAACTTAAAGTAAAAGCAAACATTCTGTGGCTGAGCTGTTCTTTGTGATGTATACTGTATATTGTGTGGGTGCACTCTTCTGTTCGCACCACATTAAAGTAGATTCAGATATAAAAAAAGAGATCCATTTGGAGGTGGACAATTACATGTGCTTCCACTGAAGTTAATAGCCAGTGTTATGGAAAAAATGTGTCCCTCAGGATAAGATCTATAATTTTTGCACTCTTTAAGAAACAACATATATTTTGTAAGTGGAAAGGTACTGTTTTATTTCAATAAAATATGTCATTTTTGTAATGCATAAATGCATAATATTTGACACAGGATGTTTAACAGTTAAATACTGGAGCGTGCTCGGCGTCGGTCAGCAAACTAAATATGTGTTAAATAAATGTATCATTCCCATTTTCTTTAACCCCAGCAACAAGGCGTGCGGATCTTTGTGATGCTGTACAAGGAAGTGGAGCTCGCCCTGGGCATCAACTCAGGCTACAGCAAAAGGACGCTTTTGCACCTGCACCCCAACATCAAGGTGACCAGTGACATCATAACGAGTTGGTCTTCGTGATGGTCGGAAGTTCATGTCGCTATTAACATGTGTGCTGTGTGGTCATGCATGATCCAGGTGATGCGTCATCCGGACCACGTCTCGTCCTCCGTCTACCTGTGGGCCCATCATGAGAAGATTGTGGTTATTGACCAATCCGTGGCCTTTGTGGGCGGGATCGACCTGGCGTACGGTCGCTGGGACGACAGAGAGCATCGGCTGACAGACGTGGGCAGCGTGACCCGCTCTGTGGCCTTTGAGCAGGTCAGGCACCAAATGAAAACGTTCCAACTTGTCAGTTTAAAGAAGAAACGCTCGTTGCGCAATGTGTTTGGGCCAGTTATGGCCTACAAAAGGCACTAACAGTTCAGATACCACAAAGAATGATGGCCCTTTGGTGGCCCAGAAACGGTTTGCTAGAGGTGGTCCATGTAGGGTCCAGCACCACGTAAACTAAACCACAACTAGCCCAGTTGTGGCATTCCATCTTAAAAACAGTGCTATCAGACCTGGTCCATGTCCCATTGACAAACCATTTACTGAGCCAGCAGTGCCAGCCTCACACCAGATCTGGCCCATGCCTGTCTGCTATGTGGGAATGCTTTATTTGTATTATTCAACTGTAGAATTACAGTATTGATATTAAAGGCTATTGAAATGTTATGAGATCTCATGAAGATTTGCAAATGCTTGAAGTACGCATTAACGATGACTGTCAGCTACTACATTTAGTTATAGTACAATATTTTTACTATGTCAAAATCAGAGATCTGTGAAGCACTTAAAATAAAAAAAAAACTAAGTAAAAGTACAACTTTGGTAAAAGGAATCTCACTGATAAGAAACGTACTTAAGTAAAAGTCATAAGACTGCTCACAATAGCCAAGGACAGTAAAAGTAAAAATAATTTTATACACACTCTAAGAAATCAAGGGTTAAATTTTCTTAACCAAACGGGTTCCACCACAACGAGTTGAGTAAATTGAGCAATTTGCACATTTCCTTTTTAAAGAGAATGTGTAAACTGCTTCACATTTACTCAACTCAGTTTAGTGAAAGCAGTTGACGTAATTTGGTTAAATAAATTCACCATTTAATTTTTTAGAGTTCATAAACAACTCTTTCCATGAGTTCTGGCTGTAGATGTTCAATTTTAAAGTAAAGAAGTAAAAGTATCATTTTATGTTTTGAATGTAACGCAATAAAAGTAAAAGTTACAATTAAAAAAATACTTGGTAAAATGACAAATCCTCAAAAAATATTTTAATTACTGTAACAAAATAAATGCACTTAGCTACTGTACACCTCATCCAAACAACTGAATCATTACTATTTTAGTGTTTTTAAAAGACAGTTTGTTGTAACGGCCACATTACTGTAAATTGGGTTGGTTCCAGAAGGTTTTTCAGTTGCAGATGTACATCCAATGATTATTTCCCTAAAATGTCCTTAAACTTTATTTTGCGAGCAGAGTTGACTCCAGTAGCTAATGGCAAAATTACAATCTGTTCAAGCTTAGAATATGTGTCTGGGATCAGTCTCAGCAACTACCACACCGTGTTTTAGCTCAATATCTATACTAGGGATGGAAATATTTAAGCTTCATCTCAAGGTCGATAAACAAACATACAGAAGAATTAATAATATTATCGTCAGCTTTCACATTTTTGTTGGTACGGAGCCCCCGAGTCGACAATGGGGGATTTTTTTTTTCTTTTGCGTTGTCTTGCAAAAGTTATTCATCACTGTTGTGCGTTTCTGATTTTGAAATAAATTTGTATGTGCATCATCATACAGGAGTTAATTCTTAAATTCAGCTTTGGCATAAACATATCACAGCCACCCAATATCTCAGTCAACTTTCCTAACTTGTGGCTACACATACAGTTTCTGTAACTACATGTTTCAAAATAAAAGTTCCTTCAGTACAGTTAATACAAAACCTTACAATTAATAAATGTTGTGAGGTAACACAAAAGAAAAAATACCCCCATGTCCACTCGGGGGCTCCGTATGTCAATAAAAAGTCTATTTGCTGCAATAATTTTCTCATCAAGCGTGCTACCTAAAGTGTATCTATCTTTTCGTAGGCTGGCTCCACCAACTCTCCGTCCGATAAGGGAGTGTCTTCTGTTGATGGCGTCTCACGGAGCAATGGAAGAGGGATGCCACCCACCGACTCTGTGGAGTTACCCAAACTGAAAGGAGTTGGTCGTAGCAGGATGGCTCGCTTCAGTCTGTACAGACACCTGCATAAACACGCTCTGCAGCATACTGACAGTGTCAGCAGTGTGGACAGTGCAGGTGGGTGAAGGCAGCGTAATATTGTTTTGAACATTGCGTTATGGAGTTCTGAAATGTACTTTTAGAGAGATTCAGTCTCTGAGGTAAAGATGGGCAGAGGTTTAACAGTATGTGAAAAGTCATTTTAGAACAATGGGCCTCATGCAAGAACCGTTCGTACGCACAGATTTGTTCTTAAGTTGTGCGGACGAGTGATTTAGGAGAATTTGTGRCATTCACCAATGTTTTCGTATTCTAAGATTTTTTCAGATACAAACAAAATTCACGAGTGGTCCAGACCTGTCGTATATTTTACSAGCAGTCAGTCTGCTGTTATCCAGACGGGTTTTCYTCMCTAATAACTTTATATTTTGTTAGTTTGAAGATATTTTGAGTTGAAAGTAAATCACACTCCATGATTATCTTGACAACAGGCTATTCTGTTTGAATTAGAGTTATAATTTTAAATGTAACAATTTAGACTAACAATATAAATTGTCAGTTGGTCCGTTTTCCGGGATCAGGTCGCGGGGGCAGCAGCAGAGAGACCCCCCTCTCCCCAGCCACACCTTCCAGCTCGTCCTGGGGGACACCGAGACGTTCCCAGGCCAGAGAGGATACATAATCCCTCCAGCGAGTCCTTGATTTTCTCCAAAGTGCCAGACTTATTTTGAAAACATTTTAAAATGCTTATTTCAGAACCGCATCGGAGACCACTTGAGACCGCGCTGGGGAGGGGGGGGGGACATACGGTGCGCGACGGTGTGTCTTCTGAATAAATGAAAATGATTTAACACAGTTGTTTATACTTTTAGCAGCTCTTTTTATTCCACAGCTGACCTGCTAAAAATGACAGATTTTCTTTTCTGGCTCTCTGACAGACGGACTTCAATCTCTGAACTCGTAAAGTTTTTCTTTTTAATTTTCACTGTCATTTTCATGAATGGACACTTCCTGATATCTGAGGCAGGAAACATAGCCTTATATGGTGTTTTTGGGGTGGTAATTATGCTAATCTCCTCTCGCGTGCACGAGCAGCTGGATACAAACAGGTGGAATTTACGCAGCTCATTTACACACTTTTCCTGAAGATAGAAGAGTTTGTTGAATCTGACGTGACATGTTCGTACGAACCCTTCGTACGAACAAAAGTAAGAGAAATTTAGGATAAGAATACGAACATGTTCTTGCATGAGGCCCGATGTTTCTCGACAAAATTTGGGAAAACTTTGAATATTGTATCATTTTATTATCAGTTTATATCATCCAATGATTTCAAGAAGATTTTCCGAGTGCAAAGGACAAAACTGAAAGGCAATACTAGATGTTTTCAGGCCCTCTCTAAACAGTGAATTCATTACAGCAGCATGGCTTCATGTTAGAAGAGTCTGGGTACAGAACTGGCTTTCCTGCAGTTCAGACCTCACACCAAGATACAACATTCATTTCATCACTTAAAGAAAAAACCCAGCAAAGAGTCAGGACTGTTGACCAGCTGGAATCCTACATTAGAAAAGAATGGGACAAAATTTCCTCCAAATACTCCAACAACCAGTTTTCTCAGATCCTGGACATTTACAGACTGTTGTTAAAAGAAGAAGGAAAGCTTCACAGAGAGAAATGTTTCCCTGAACCAATTAGTCTGAGACGTGTTGTTGCCCTGAAATTTCAAACCTACCTATTTTTTTTTCCTGAAAACGCTACAATTTCTTGGTGTAACCCTCCTATTATGTTGCAGGTCAAATTGACCTGTGTCAAAGTTTTCAAATGTTTTAAAGATACAGTAGTTCTAAGTATTTTTTCAGTATGAAACTTTTTCAATCTGTTTTAACAAGTATAATCAACATATAAAATGAAAATGGTTCATTTAGATATTTGCAAACCTTCCCAACGTTTAACAAAATGTAAAAAAAAATTAAAATCTATTTAAAAAAAAGAATTTCACATATAACCATTGCTTTTGTAGGCTTTTGTTGTCCACAAAATGAATTGTCCTCATTGATCCTTTACCTGTGAGAAATATTAAAAACATCAACACACAAATATTGATTGAAATGGTCTGTAAAGGAGTCAGTAATCAGACACAACAATGTTTTTAGTGATGGTTTCTGACATTATTGCATGATTAAACATTCCCCGGGACAAACCGACACAAGAACAACATTGCTGTTTCTCAGAAACGAATGTTTGCTGTGTTGTGAATAAAACAGAACAGAGATTTGCAAATTACTGTAATCAGTTTTCTATCTTCATTTTACACAGTGTTCCATTTTTTCAGAATTGTGGCTTTATAAGATATATTTAAAAAATAAGACTTTTCCTATAACCTTTACTGTACATTGTTCCTGTGTGAATATGTGCAGGGAGTACTTCTGGTCAGAGCCTTAAGACTGGCGTTGGGGAGTTACAGGGAAACACCCGTTTCTGGCACGGCAAAGACTACTGCAACTTTGTCTACAAGGACTGGATCCAGCTGGAGAAACCTTTTGATGGTCTGGTACACAAATATATTCATGCACCCAAGAATGTTTATTTATTGCTGTGCTTTTTTCCAGTTTAACTGATCCTACTTATAGCAATAACGCCACTATTTTTCCTCCATTTGTTTGCTCGGAACAGCAGCTCCTAAGTCTCCTTTTAATTTATTATGTCTATCTGAAATTTTTATTACTCTGCAACGTCTCCTCTACGCTCTGCCATATTTTCACATTCCTGGTTCATCGACTAATCTCCTGCTCCTTTTTTGCAGACTTTATCGACAGATACACCACTCCCAGGATGCCTTGGCACGACATTGCCTCAGTGGTTCATGGACGAGGAGCCCGGGACGTGGCGAGGCACTTCATTCAGCGATGGAATTTTACCAAGGCACAATATTTTACTCACGCTCGCACGCACGCACACACACTGAACATGCATGGATAGAAATCAAGATAAGAACATAACGATTATCTTATCTGGCTTGAAAAGCTAAACATTTAGAAAATCATTGACTATTTTCTTTGTCAGTTTATAGGAACTACAAACCATAGCAAACTGATATTAACTAATGAGGGAGATGGTGGCTTAGTTATTTAAAAGGGGTGGAAAAAGATACAATGACTTCACTCAGTCTTAAGGAATTTTTGACTGAAGTCTTGATAAGAGCTCTTCAACTGGTGGCATACAGGCCACATATGGCCCATCGGTGACTTCTGTCTGGCCCAACAGTTAATTCTTAAAATTAAAAGAGAATTTTTAAAAGTTATTTACTTTCTTTAATTTGAAAATAGATTTTACATCAATTTAAAAATTCTGATTCAGTGCAGCAAAATAAACAAAATATGATAATACTTGTTCTTTTACATAATTCAGTGTTTCCCACAGATGTTCACTGATCGGTTGGCTTTAGGTAACTGTGGCTCCCTGAGCAACTTACACTGCAAAAACTGTCTTTCTTACCAAGTTTTAAAACCTTATATTCAGCCAAAAAGTCTTTTTGATCTTGTTTTGAGACTGATTTACTAAACAAGAACTGATTGTGTAAGAATAATAATCTTGTTTTCAGAATGTGTAAGATTATTTGTCTTGTTAGCCTGAAAATTTGACTCAAATTAAGTCAAAAATTCTGCCAGTGGAGTAAGAAAATTTTACTTGGTAAGATTCTTGAAATAAGAAACAACTGAGTCAAATCAAGTATTTCTATCAGCTTGATTCATGCTGGACTTTTCTATTAGGCTCTATAGCGCCTCTAGTGTTTAGACATGGAACTGCAGTTCCATGTCTAAACACTAGAGGCGCTTGATTATTCTTGAAATAAGAAACAACTGAGTCAAATCAAGTATTTTAAGAATCTTACCAAGTAAAATTTTCTTACTCCACTGGCAGAATTTTTTGACTTAATTTGAGTCAAATTTTCAGGCTAACAAGACAAATAATCTTACACATTCTGAAAACAAGATTACTATTCTTACACAATCAGTTCTTGTTTAGTAAATCAGTCTCAAAACAAGATCAAAAATACTTTTTGGCTGGATATAAGGTTTTAAAACTTGGTTAGGTGGACATGTTTTGCAGTGTAGGTTGTATTCATACCTGATAGTCCGGTAGACTCGGTTTGATTGGGGACCAAAATTGTAAGATTTGCTTACATTTTCAGCTGGTTTGGTTCACATTCACACTGCACTTTGTCAAACAAACCTTGTGAACAAGCTGTTCCCTACCTCACCTGTGGTGGCGCTGCTTCAAGACCCACTGAAGGAATCAACATGAAAACTTCAGAAGAAGACATGGAGCATAACTTCCTTCTTCACAAAATGTAAACAAACATGGAATAACTTAAGATTTTAGCAGTTATAGGATTTATTTTTTGTTTTTTTGGCAAATGTGCCTAATAAATAGTCTTTAACAATGGGCACAGCCTGAAAGGAAGATGAGGCGGAACAGCAGAGAATACTGTTTTTCTACACAAGACGAAGACGGCTTCATTTGGCAGCATTCACAGAGTAGGAGGAGCGCATCCAACTTCACAGCAGCAATATTCGTTTTATACAGACATCGAGTGAGTATTTACAAGATATGAGTAACTCCGGTCCACTTGGTGTTCACAGATGCAATCGAACCACACCAAGAGTTCACTTCAACCAAACCGAGACCCAAGTTTGCAGGCGGACCAGAATTCACTTTTTTGGTCCGAATCAGAGTTAATTTCAGAATTACGCATTCACACCTCCCCAAATGAGCCAGACTTTCTAGACAGTTGAACTAGAGCTCAATTAAAGGCACAGTGTGTAGGATTTTGTCAATTCTTTTAGCCGAAATTGAGATAATCACTAAATGACAATAATAAAAAAACATGACTAATCATTGCAGACAAAGACCTTGTTCTATTATTTTTACCTTATAAAAAGCTGTATCTCCATGGTCGCGGGTCGGCACTACAGGCAGCCGCCATCTTGCACCGCCATCTTGTCTACGAAGGCTCATGAAGGACAAACTGCGATGGCGGCGTCAAAAACGGTTTTAGTTGTAATACTATAAATGTAATATTTGTTGTCTGTCATTGTAGCTGGGATAATTTTACTTATTAAAGCTCATAATCTTACCACTGGAAACATCACTAGCCCTGAAGCTGCTGGTAGACATCGCGGTTGGAATTATCAAAGGTTTTTGACACCTGAGAGACACCGTAGCAACTCCTTTGTGTTTGGAAGCGGGGGGTGGGGGTGGGGGGAGGACCAGGGAGGATGATTCAACCACTCAAACACTAGATGTCGCTGAAAACAACAAATCATACACACTGTGCCTTTTAAGTGGACTAAACGGGGCTGCTGTGAATACACCCTTAGGGAACATCACTGCTGTGAGGTTGGATGCGCTACTTCTCGGTGAACGCTGCCTCACATAAAGCCGTCTCAGCCTCCTTGTGTGAAAACAATATTCTCCGCTGATCCGCCTCATCTCACGCTGTGCCTATTGTTGAAGACCATTTGTTAGGCACTTTCGCTAAAAAACAAAAAATAAATACTACAACCACTAAAATCTGACATCACTCTATGTTTGTTTACATCTTGTGAAGAAGGATGTTGCGCTCCATGTCTTCTTCTGAGTTTTTCGTGTTGATTCCTTCAGTGGTTCTTGGTGCAGCGCCACTACAGGCGAGGGGGAGAACATCTCGTTTACAGGGTTTAGTTCGTTTGACAAAGTGCAGTTTGAATGTGAGCCAAACCAGCTGAAAATGTAAACAAATCTTGCAGTTTTGGTTCCTGATCAGAGTCTACTGGATTATCTGGTGTGAATAGGACCATATTTGTCATAATAGATTGTGCAACTTTAACTTTTCCCCCTAATTTTTCTAGTTCAGATTCTTCCATTTCTCCCCTTTACATTAATTCTGTGTCTGTCTCACACAGATCATGAAACCAAAGTATCGCTCACTGTCTTATCCATTCCTCCTGCCGAAGTCTCACTCCACTGCCAATGAGTTCAAATATCAAGTACCTGGGTGTGTGAACGCTAAAGTGCAGGTAAGAAAACAAATCGTGCATTTTAATTTCAAAGAAAAGCATTGGGTTTAAAATTTTCTACAAGATGGAAACCAAGGACCAACAGTGTTGAAGATCAAAGATAGAACAGAACGCACCAGAATAAACTCCCACTATCCCACGTTTTCCACATCATGAAATGTTGCTGGAAACAGATAAAAGAGTGAATGTTAAAGCTCCATAAGAGCCAACAGGTTACATAACCGCAACTTGTGTCTTATTTGTGATCCAGGTCTTTTAGCTGGAAAGGGCTGACCCTTGATAAAATACCAGTTTAAAATTAAATGTGTAAAGCTCACATCCAGAGTCCTGAGTGTTTGGTAAAAGTCTTTGTTCTTTGTTTTCTCTGTTAGATGTTGCCACTTTTTGTTCAAAGTGTGCAACTTTTTCATCTTTGTTTAAACAGTTCCAAATTTTCATTAAAAACGTAAGTTTATGTGTTAAATTGTTCTCTGAAGTTGTTTTAGTCCTATTAGGTTAAGACGTATTTTTCTGTTTTTATCTACTGTATCTTGTTTCAGATTTATTTATAAAGTGACTAAAACTCATGCATTTTTACAATATAGTAAATAAGGAAGATAATAAAATGGTGTTTTTTCTGCAAAAGTGCAGAATAATGCTGGTCCTCTTTTGCTTGTGACCAACCCGTTTGTCCACCATGTGGAGGCAGTATTATGGTGGATTCACACCAAACGCGTTTTGAGCTGCAGGAGCAGCCCGTTTACATGCAAAGTCTATGGTGGACGCGCTTCTAGGGGTCGTGTGGCGCGTCATGTACGTTTGGCGTGGCGCGCAAGGAATGCGCGTGCATGAGGTGCGTTGAAAGCAGCCGACGCCCGAGTTAAAAAATCTGAACTTTCGCCGCTCGACGCGTCTTGACAACCAATCAGAGAGACTCATTTTTCCACGTGATAGTTTCCTGAATGTTGCCCACTAAACCGAAACAGACGGACAGGAGATCTTTAGCTGAAATCGACCGTCTGCAATTGGATTTTCTGGCAGGATGTATCAGTACCAATGTGGGTCAGCTGCTCGGGACAAAAAAAAGGCTGTCAGCTCGCAGCTTCTGGAGTGGCGAAACCAACCAAACAAATCGCCTCTAAATCATCTGGTGAATTAATTATCTGCTGCGCGCAACGTTCGTTTGCTCTTTACTAAATAAATCAAAGCCATTTTCTTTATTTTATCTTTATTTCATCTGCCGAGGACAGACCAGAAAAAAACCAAGACGCTCCTCTCTCTTCAGAAGCACGTCTAGTCTCCCGGTCTGAACATAGTGCGTCCAGCTGGAGGCGTTGGGTGCTTTTTTTCTGCTCAAAATGCATTCGGTGTGAACGTAGTAGAAGGCTGAGTTTACCTGGAACTCCTCAGACTGAAGGAGACAAAACTTTCATTAAAGTGTATCTTACCCCCCTGTGAAAAGATAACTCCGCCCCAAGGCGAAATTTGAAAAATGCATCAAAGTGGGTA